GTGCTTAACCACTGCTTTCAGTTAGGAAGCATATTTCCTGCTATTACTTATTTAACTTTTTTTCCTGTAAAAAGAACCACACACATACATAGTGGGTAAATAAGAGAATAGAAGGATACCAGGCCAAATGGGATTACACCAGGGTATCTGAGAGCTGAATTTGGCCCAGTGACTGGAATTTACACCCAAAATATTCTGCCTAAGCAGAGAGAATAAAATTAATTGTACTCTATTAAATAAAAGTCTGAACAATTTTTTTTTTCTCTTACCAGCACAAAGTCGGTGGTTAGTGGGGAAGTGATTCTAAAAATCCAAATAGACAGAAAAAGATATAAAGATATTTAAAGTAAAATGTAATGGAAAATATGTAGTTGATATTCAAGGACACTTTGGGACTGTTTCTATCCTGTGTTGCTCTCCTCCCACAAACTCCCCTTAATTCCTTCTCTGTTCTTTCTGTTCACTCTTTGTTTTGTTGTCATTGTCTTATTTTCATCTTATTGTAGCATTTTCTCCATCTTCTTTTCTTCTAATCTGCTCCTTCTCTTTACCTTCATTTTGGATGTTAGAGACACCAAACGTATCAGTTAAAAACAACAATTTGCTCAGAACCAAAGATTCATCCTTTCTCCATTTCAAGGTCAGAAAATGTTCATGGTCCTCCCAGCACAGGGGTTCTCAAACTGGGGTTCAGGACCCCTCAGAGGGTCGCGAGGTCATTACCTGGGGGGTCATGAGCTGTCAACCTCCACCCCAAACCCTGCTTGCCTCCAGCATTTATAATGGTGTTAAATATATTAAACAGTGTGTTTAATTTATTAGGGGGGTCGCACTCAGAGGCTTGCAACATGAAAGGGGTCGCCAGTATAAAAATTTGAGACCACTGTCCTAGCATAACAGAACCCAAAAGACTAGGAAAGAGTGGGTCTGGCAAAGTAAAGTTCTAAGAGAGATGCTGGGCTAGAAGAGAGGTGATAAGCATGCACAAAATATGAAGCCTTCCTTCTCTAGGGCAATTTCTTGAATCTTGGCCAGTTTGATTCTGGTGGATAGCAATTATTTTACCTGACTGTTGTTTGACAGCTTCGGTAAGATCAGTTGGACTCAGCATCATTCCTAGTGGCTCAGGACTCACATAGTAAAAATAACCTAAATACCTCTGTCACTGTTTAAACTTGTTGGCATTTACAGCAAAGACACTAGCGAGCCTGGATACTGAAATGCCCTCTCACCTAAACCGGAAATATCTTCAGATCAAGAAAACAGCACCCATTCCCATCAGATCTCCCCCTCTAGGGAATGGCCAATAAAAGTTTATTGGATAGGTAGGGAGGAGTGACCATGATTATCTAATGACATGTTGCCATCTAGAATGCAATGATTTCCACTTACTATAGGCTAATGAGGTAGCCAGTGAGAAATGAACAGGCATAATTATTTAATCATTGAATCATTACAGCAGACCATCCGTAGCAGTGAAGGCCTGATGCATGTAAGATAAGGTGATGAAGTCAAGCAAGCAAGTCACTGGTCTGTTCTTTAGTGGACATTTCAGTAGGTCATACTGTAAGCTAACAGAAGAGCTCCATGGATCTAAATTTTCTAATCTCTTCAGTCATGCAGCACTCTGAGAACAACCTTGTTATATTCTAGAGAAACCAGGACGATGCAATCTTTGAACTGATTATTCAAAAATTCAAGAGACTGCTATTTGTAGACATAATTTTTGTGCAGTTCTTTATTCTGATACTCATTCTACAGTGTTCCATCTATGGCTGACGTGCTAAATTACATCATGTCCATGTCACAAAAGGCAGTAAAAAAAACAAAATTCCACAGTCTTTTTTATTGTGTTTTTAATACGTGAATACTTAAAATGGATGCATTCATTAGTGCATTAATTTAATTTAATCTAATTATTTATTTAAATACATCTCTAGGTACCCATCCAGTGTTCTGGGCACCGATCCTAGAAATGAAAAATACAACATACAGATAGAAAAATGACTGCCCATAAATATATCCATCTCAATCTACTTCATCCTCAAAAGCCTTAGCAAAGAGGGGGAAAAGATGGGCTTTGCTGTGTGCTCAGAAGCTTAACAAATATTAACTCTGACAGCCCAAGGAAAGGAGCAAGTTCCCACATCACCATTAAATGTAATGCCAATGGAAAAATTAGAATGAATCAAGATTCCACATTTTAAGGACCTCTGCAATGTAAGAAGGAGAAAGGATCAGCCTCACAGTACTGTATTTTCTGAGAACTCCCTTCCAATTTATCAAGCAAGGTATGATCAGATTCAAAACAAATATCTCCCCTAATCTAGTTGGTGAGGTTATGATGTTCAAATTTCCCCAACAGCAAAAGGGGGGGAAATCCCAGAAATAAGGAGAAAATAAACAAATTCACAATTTACCGTTCCCTCTGCTTTCCCTGCAACTGAGAGGAAAAAAATCACTATTCTGGTCACAGATTTTAAATGCTTGTTAAATTCAGCTGCAATAGCCATGTTCATACTGGAAGACAAACTCTGAATTAATAATTTCCTGTTCTTAGACCTCAGCTTTTTTTGTAGTTATTTCTATGTGCACCACCAAAGAGTTCTTATTTTCCAACCTGCTTTGAAGTAAGACCACAATAGGTGGCCACTAAACCAGAGGCTTTGGGCTGAATCACACTTATTGTAAATGAGCAACTTTTGATGTGCTTGTGATATTTGAGAAAATGCAACTAGTGGTGTCTGCGCTCTGGCCCTAAAGTCAGTTCTTACGTGATTTATAAATGTGGTTTTAAATAATGGATGAGAACAAAAGATGTGACCATCGTAGATTCATTTCCAGATGCCTCTGCAGCCCCCTTAACGTTGTCTGCCCTTCGTCACCCATTCAGCTGCAGCTGAATTTTCCTTTCTGAAAACCATGGGCTGACTTTATATCACTCATCGCAACTCCCACCTCCCCAGCTGAGTTACAGGAACCATTCTAATATTTTTCAGATAGAAAGGGCCATGAGTTTCTACTCCTATGGGGCTCTTTTTACACAAAAAGTGTTTCAAGGGTCTTTTTGGGAACAGAGGCAAGCCTTTCCTTCTCTCTTGTCTCTCGTTAGCCCACTCCAAGTCCATTGCTTCTCCTGCTTTCAGATGATGGAAGGAGAATGCCAGAGACATTCGTGGAGTTGCAAAGGCTTTAAAACTCTTTGAATGAGAGCTTGCTGATCACTGGGCCAAATCGTGCAGTCCTTATTTAGCTTATGTCAGTATTCAGTCCTTATTCGGGCAAAGTCTTACCAAAAATCAAAGAGAATTTGCCCCAGCAAGTATGAAATAAAGCCCATGCAACTATGACAGCTATAATCTTTGCTAATGCAGGGGATCAAACTGGTGGCCTCTAAAGCGAAAGACATAAGTCACCACAGCTTAAGCCAAAAGCCACACATCCTGGCTGCAACAGACTCATAGCCTCTGTTTCCTGGACATAGACTCATAGACTCATAGACTTTAAGGTCAGAAGGGACCATTAT